CAAACCCCTATCAAGATACTGAACATTTCCATCAGCCCCAAAAGTTCACTTGTGCCCCTTCCTAGGTATTTTCATTACAGAAGTAAACCATTTTTTATACAAGTCTTTTTGTAGGCATGTCTATTCCTCTGGGGTAAATAAATATTTAGGAATGGAGGTACTAGGATATGCTAAGTGTTTAACCTTTTAAGAAACTGCCAAACTATTTTCCAAAGTTTGTACTATTTTACACTCCCACCAACAATATATCAGCATTTTAGTTGCTCTACATCCTTGCCAAAAGTTGTCAGTCTTTATAATTTTAGCTATTCTGGTGGTATCGCATTGTGATTTTAATTTGTAATTCCCTGATGACTTAAAATGATGAGTCCTTTCTCATCTTATTGGTAATATTCCTTTGTGAGGTTCAAGTCTTTTGGGCTTTTAAAATTGGGTTGTCTTCATTATTGAGTTGTAGGTCTTTACAAATGTTTCACTCGAGTACTTTGTGAGATAGGTGTTTTAGAAATACTTCTCCCAGCCTGTGCCTAGCCTATTCATCTTCTTGATGGTGTCTTTTGATAAGTAGATGTTTTAAATTTTATGAAGTCTCAGTTTATCAATTTTTGTCTATTATTATTAGTGTTGCATCCTGCTTAAGAAACCTTTGCTTATTCCCAGGCTGCACAGATAGTTTATATTATTCTTCTAGAAGCTTCTTAGCTGCTTTTTTTAATGATGTTTTCTGATTTCCTGTTTGCGTTCTTACTGAACTCAGGTTATTTAAAAGGATGTTTAAATCTCAAATATTTTGGGATTTTCTTGATTTCTGACTTAATGTTGTGATCAGAGAAGGATTGAGATCATCTTTTAAAATGTTTTGAGACTTCTTTTGTAGTCCAGCATATTGTCTGCTTGATGAATCTACTGCATGCCTTTAAAAGCAGCATATATTCTGTCACTGTTGGATGTAACGATATATAGATGCCAGTTAGATAAGGTGACTGACAGTATTTCTAACTACAACTTCTTTGTTGTTACTAAATTTTCACTTTGCTCTGGTTGTTGTTGTTGTTGTTATGTGCCGTCGAGTCAGCCCTGACTCATAGCGACCCCTCCTTGGGTTTCCGAGGCAGTATCACTACGGAA